CGGTCGCGAGATCAGACCGGTGTATCAGTTATCAGTTTCAGTTCAGTTCAGTTATACATACTCAGTTCATGATCATGTTATTATTTACGATGTATTACATTAGCATGAGTTTCTGCGGAGCACAGTGCCTTAGTGCTCACGCCCCACATTTTCATGATTTTCAGGTCGCAGGGTCGGGGACGAGGAGTGAGCGGGCGAGCTGTTCAGGATATTCATGATTTCTGTACTTGATGTTGAATGATTAAACTTTTCAGAACTTTTTATCAGACTTTTATGTTATTGCCACCCTAGACTTCCGCTAAAACTTTAAGACTTTACTCCGACGTTAGTCGGATAATAAATTATAACCGTTTTATGTATCAGTTTCAAATCCTAACGGTTTTCAAGAGTTATGTTTTTCATGGTAACCCCCGAATCAGTTTCGCAAATTAAAAAGTTAGTTTATTTATTTATTTGTTCAGAAAATTTGCGAAAAACCGCGTACTCTGATGTATTAGAAAGTCGGGGTGTTACACGCGCCCTTCCTTGCGGCCGTCCCACGTGCGCGCTGTCCACCCAACATCCTCCCCTCGCACACCTCTCATCTCCTCCGCAAATCACATTTGAAAGAGTTGATAAACCTGTTCAACAACGGAGTTATCGGTCAAAGCAATCTGTTGCTTGTTGACTTTGCCATAGCCCCTTTTGTAAATTAGTTCCTTCACACTCTTCAAGTTGGGGTACCTAAGCAAAGCACATTGTATGCTCATAAGTTGACACGCAAACTAGTGGGAAAATAGTTCGAGGGGCAGCGATATTGAGATGCATACCCATAGGTTACGTAGGGTTCAACCCTGTGAAGCATATTCACTATTGCCTTGTTAACTTTTAGGAACACGACATTGAAAATCTGCATTAATTAGAATATAGTAATAGATTCAGAGTACTTTTAGGACCAAGGAAATTGTAATAAAACGTCAAAAAATTTGTGTCTGAAACTAACATGTGTAATTGTTTATCATGGAAGAAAGGTAACCGCGATTAAAAAAAACTTGAAAAAAAATGATATTATAACTGGTAAACCATTTAAAGACTATCTTTTCTCCAACTTGTTATCACAAAAAATAATAATAATAATAATAATAACATTCAGACAGAAAAAAGGGATCTACTCTTCACCTGCCGAAGACGCAAGATCTTCTTAGTCCTCGGGTGCATGGCATTAATACTGAGATCAGAGAACATAAATATATAAAAAAACCAAGTTACCAAACGATATTAATCATCAAATTGTCCATGAAGTCGAGTCTAAGTAAAAAACAACTACATACCCACGAATGCGAATGATGAAAAGCAACTTAGCCTCAGGATTCACATAAAACCCTCCCTTCAGTCTTGCCTCGCGCTTCAGCTGAATCAGCTCCTTCTCCTAAAGACCAAAAAATAAATAAATAAATAAAATCAAAAATTGTGCAACAGCCGAAGTATAATTAATACAGTAAAAGAAGCTCACAATAGCTGGAGAAAAATAAATGAAACAAATAGACCACTCAATCACACCTGCTCCGTGTATTCCTTGGCATATTGCTGGGCTCTATTGAAAATCAGCTTTCTGTTTGCAGCATTCTTTTCCTTCACAACAGCAAGCTCCTGCTTCTTGGCCAAAGCCCATTCCTCGCTCCTCTTCTGTTTCTTTAGCACAGACTCGGGAACAATTACGCCTCCCTTCTCAGCCATTTCTACATGAAACATATAAATGAAACGGTCGAGTCCGTGAAAAATGAACTTCTTCAGTGTAAATAGGGAATAGAAAAACAAAATCCTGAAAATGCAAGTCATGTAAGTTAAAGCCATATCCATAAAAGAACTGTTATCCGTCTATGTTTCATTTTTATCTTCTCCAGGGGCGTAGCCAGAGGGTGGCTCACCCGGGCTTCAGCCCAGTCTTAATTTTTCGATTTATTTAAATATGTAGTACTAGAAAAATATTTTTTAGCCCATGTATACCAAATTGGTTCTAGCAGCCCAGTATAGAAAATATTTCTGGCTACGCTACTGATCTTCTCTATCCCATCTTATAGGCACTTCCAAATTATGGTATTTAGAAAAAAAAAATACAAGCCTCCAAATGCCACTCATATACTGTCAACATCATGCACGAATTATTTCTATATGGAATATATATTTGAATGAGTCCGTGAAAAGTGTATCTCTTAGTGGAAATAGTAGAAATACAAACAATCCTGCAAATGCAAGTAATATAACTGCATATGCAAAGTCCGTGGACTACAACGAGAAAAGCTTAAACCTCAACCGGCACAGCAGGTCATGTTTCCATGTTCAATAGGCACTCCGTCCGTCAAAAGAGTTTACTACTCCGCTAAACGGTCCGGGCTAGCCCTAGCGGGATTCGGGCTAAACGGTCCGGGCTAAAAAAGCCCTAATTTAAACGGGCTACTGATAAAAGGACCTAACCCTAACCCTAGCGGGTTTCGAGCTAATGGATAGAAGTACCGCAAAAATAGACGGCTAGAACTTGGATACATTTTGCTAAACATACAAATGACCAACTTAGTTACTCACAACTCATCTTTCAGAAATCAGAACGCATTGGGGTGTATTAATTCAAGAATTTTCTTTATTACAAAAAAAAAAATGATAAATGTCAAAGCCCATGGACACTAACCATTTCCTCAAATCTCACCACAGCTTTCTTCTCTCAATAGATAATTCATTAGTTCATTATCAACACTATTAACATATCTGCTTAAACATTGCATTTGAAGTCTGGTTTGGATGAACTACCAAAACCAGGCATCCCAAAATACACAGAAACACTAAACTAACAAACAGAAAGGAAAATCAGCCCTCCACACTATTCTAACAAACAGAGAAGGAAAAAGCCCGAAATACTATTAACATCAAAAGCCGAGCAGCCCAATACACACAGAACCTCCGAACAGCCTAAAAAATAGAAAAACGAGGACGAGACAAAATACATGGGACCTGAGAATTCGAACAGCAAAAAGGAAGCAACAGAAAACGAAAAGAAAACACGACTGATCAATGAAAACTTAAAAAGTCACACCGAAAGGCACATTTGATCTGAAAAACCAATTCCACGCAGACAATTTCAGGCTTTCTGCCGCCTAATCTCGACTCCGAATTTTCAGCTGTTGATAGACAAGTTATTCCGGCAACCAAACGGTCTAAAACCCTCAAACGAGCTGGGAGTCCTTTGGAGAATCCAAGCCCGCCGGCTCCGAATCCACAGCCCACCCTTACCAATGGACCGCCTCAGGCCCGGTGGACCTTCCGCGACATGGTAAACAAACAGAGGAATCATGTGGAATTACAGTCTGATGATGAAGACCAAGACTCGGATGTGGAAGACGATATAGTGTTGGACTGCTCTCTCCCTCTACCGGGGATTAAGATAGGCCAACGTTTCTTCGACCAAATTGCTCATGATTGGAAGAATGTGGTAGTTATTAAACCATTGATGCGTCGCTCACTATGGCCAAGATGTGGCTGTTCATGGTGGGGTGCAACATAATGGACCTTGAGAATGGGCTTTACCTGATTCACTTCTGTATCCACGATGACACAGTAAGGGTACTAACGGGTGGACCATATGTCGTGGGAAGTAGTTACATGCGCG